GGCACTGTCCCGAATGGTCCCGAATGATACCGCACTTGTGTCCCTTTGAACTTCAGTCATATAATAAATCTCTTATTCACCAAGCTTGCTCAGGACCGTACTGGAAGAATATCAGCCCTCGGTCTTTTTTGTACGGACCTCGCTGCGTTTGGTCCGTACTGTCAAGACCTTGGGCCGATATTCTCCCAGTACGGCCCTCGCACTTGGTTAATAAGATATATGTATTTAATTTCCCACGCACAAGATCACTGTGTGGTGTATGTTTGGGGAGCAGGGATGGCGCAGTGGTGAGAGCACTCGCCTCCCACCACTGTGGCCCGGGTTCGATTCCCGGACCTGGCGTCTCATGTGGGTTGAGTTTGTTGTTGGTTCTCGTCCTTGCTCCGAGGGTTTTTCTCCGAGTCCTCCGGTTTTCCTCCCTCCACAAAAACCAACATTCTAAATTCCAATTCGATCTGGAACAGTGGACAAGAATAGCCACCCAGTGGATGTCCATTGTTAAATCATTATTTATTTATTTATTATTTATTTATTTATGTCCTCCCCTGGGATGGGATGGGTGGGTACTAGGGCCCGCAGTAATTGGCACAAGCTGTTGCGGGGTCCCTGCCTGTCGGTGAAGATAATAAATGAAATTAAATTATTTTTGAGTAAGACTGCTAGAGCTGATCACCTTTTATTCTCATCATTACAAAAATAGACATTTTGCTTACAGTAAACTCACCACTTGTGATAACAAAAGTTGTATTGTTTAGTTTTCAGAGTTATCAAGAGAGTTGTCTAACTCAGTCCTTCCATCCATTATTTCAACCATGTTGTCCAACAAATGTTCAGTAAGTACAATGTAAAAAGTAATGAACTTATAGAAAGAACCAGTACAAAAAGAAGCAGACATTGCTTTATTTTGATCAATGATCACATCTGTAATCATTTGTAGGACGAGTCGTCAGTCTTATTGATGCTATCGTCATGTGTTCACTATTTCCCAGGACCTTCAGGACCCTCTAGGGTAAGTTATTGTAATCAGGCTCTCTTAGGTGCTGCGGCAAATTCGAGGAAGTCATGAAAGATAAGTTATCACGAATCAAGGGGCCTACTATTGACAATGACCTGTGCTGGGAAACTCATCTGCTTATCTCTTGCAGTACTACAACACCTTCCATAGCCACACCACATGCAAAACAATACTTAAATTACATCTTGTATAACTACTTCACTGCTTATAGTATGCCTCATCAATAAAACAAAGTTTTAATAGGTTTTTTTTTTTTGCTGACAAGTAGTTAAAGCTTAAGGTCCCTGGCATGTTTGATTTTATGTCAACTACACATTGATTGTGATTTTTTGTCTTTATTTACAGAATCAAATTGAGAAATTTGTTTTACCACATTTGAATTCAATCTGCAATGAAACAATGAAGGTAAGTTGTTGTGGTCAATTGAACACTTTTAATAGCAGGCAAGATCTCTGGTGATTTCATTTAGTCAATATACATAGCATACAAAACAAACTTGGCTTTTATTTACACTATATAACAAAATGTATCAATTAAAACTACCGATTAGAAAACAAAATCATATTAACCCTAAGCAAACAAAAAATGCAAAACTGAACAAAAACATACTCTGCCGTTCAAACACATATCTAAGCAGAGACGTGGCGGCAGGTCACATGACTTAAAGCAGGAAATATTCATTCTAACATCAATATAAGGCAGAAATTCAAAATATTAATAAATAGTTTATAAGATTTTTACAGTCAAAAATAATACTCAAATGATGAATTAGCACCAGTAGTGAAGAATACTCCTTTTTCTGTTTGAGTGTAAGTCAAGAGAAACAAGAACATTAACTGTGTATGTTCTTTTTTTGTTACAGGCTGCATGCAATTGCTATGCCTTGTTACCAAGGTGTAATCGCAGTGGGTCTAATGATAAGCGACAGCTGTGTCCATGGAATACACAGTGGAACAAAGTGCTTTGCACAATTCATCAACTACTTGATAATGCTTATGAAAATGTCGAGCCAGGTATGTTGTACCCTGTGAGCAGAGCCTTTTTAACCCATCCTCAAATTGAAAAGGGAAAAAGGCTCTGCGGACATCCTGTTGTTGCTTGTTTGAACATGCGCGGCAGTTACCTAGAAACTGATCCTTTTCCAGGCCCCCTTGAACTATTGTGGACACAGATTTGGTCATCTGTGTACATGAAAAACAAAGGCGTGTACACCAAAACCGGTTTGACTGGAGGCAAAACCGGCTTGAGTAGCCTGGAGTTTTGGGCTTCCGGCATTTCAAAGCAACAACGGGATGTCGGCAGAGCCTTTTCCCTTGGAGGGTTAAAAAGAAGAGGAAAAGAAGAAAAGGCTCTGCTCGCAGGGTAGGTATGTTGTTTATGATATCTCTAATTAATTTATTTTAACAGTAAATGGTAAGGTTCATTGACTAATTTTTTACATTATTCACTCCAGTTGTCAGCAGGCCCTCTCAAGACTCTAAAGATGAATCTCTTCCACTTGGCGATGTTCCACCTTCAGAGCCTGACAGGACACACACACTCATCACAAGATTGAATTCATTGCTTTACCTCCTCTCAACAATGATTAGGTAACTTATTTTCGTGGAACAAATGTATTTAAGTGATAGAGAAAACTTGATAAGTCTTTTAGTGATGTGTTATTTTCCCTTTTAAAGTTAATCATATCTGTTGCCTTCCTCGATTTTTTCAGGAATGTTGATAAAGAATTTTCATCAATTGATAATTCTCTTTCCTCTGTCAATTTAAGGGAAGAGTATCTAAAAGTTGTGGCAGTTCCCATTGATTCTACAATCAGCCTTTTAGTGAGGATAATGAATGTGACCTGCAACTCACTGGTAAGACTGATAATTATGTATTGATCAAGAAGTTCATTAAATATAAAAAATGATACGTTAGAAGAATGGCTATGTATGTATACTAATGAAAGATATTTTACTTTTTATCTATAAATTGTTAACACCAATCAGTGTTAAAGGAACTTTACTGTAAAAATATTGGACTTGTGTACTTTTGAGCTTGATTTAAATTTTTATTTTGTAGAAAAGTGCTGTTGTGGTGGAATCAGTGTTGTTGAGAGCAAGTCTACCATTAATCCATATAAATGCTGTAGATTTGTTAACCACATTAGTCACTAGGTACTGACAGTATGATATTTTTTTTCATTTTAATCAATTTATTTAGTTTCCAGTGTTTGTTACTTAAAAATACTAGCATTACTTGGTGTTGGTACTAAATATCATTATGATATTGTCTTAAGCTAAGCTGCTGAGTAAAGTGTTGTTAGTGTCCTAGACATGAACAACCTAGTATTTAAAACATTTTCAAGTTATGCCTTAGAGCATAGCAACTTTGATAGGAAAAAAAAATTAAGAAACTTCTAGATGGGGTTTAAATAATAGGCCCAGAGATTTTCTCTTCAGATGACCAAACCTTTTCACTCCTAGAGTGAGAAGTAACTTCTGATATCAAAATATTGTCAAACAGAAAGGAAATGAGGAGAAAGAAAAAGATTGAAATGGGACAATTGACTGATTTCACACTAAACTCCCTTAAATTCTAAATGTATAGCAAACAGTAAGTAGATCTGATTTTGAGACCTTGAAATGGAAAGGGTTATGCATTTCTGGAGCTGCTTACTAGAAAGCTATTTTCTTTCCAAATGTACAACAGGTGTAGAAATTTGATGCTTCCATATTGTGGCTTGTTGATAAAGCTACTGGTGCAAGAGCTTGCTTGGAGTGAAACTAAAGATCCTGCTTACGGCTTCAACAAACCATACAGGTGAGAAAGAAATTTTGAAATCTCCATCCTAAACTTGAAAAAAGTACCTTTAATTTACATTTGTTTAAATTAATTTGTAAAAGTCTTTTCATGTCATTTGTACTTACTCAAGTATCCTCCAGCGGTATGAGTACGGCAAAATAAATTCTGAATAGGGTCACTTGGAGGGCTAAGCTGGGAAAAATCTCTCCATCAGGCTAAACGCCAACTATTTTTTCTTCGACAGGATAGTTACCTGAGTATTTTTTTTTTCCTTTTTAAAGGAAATTGAGGTGTTCTGTTTATCACTGCATTGAGCACTGGGTTCAACTGACAAATAGCCTGCCTGAGGAGGGTGGTGTGGTGACCAAGTTGATGTCATTCATGCTTGATGACCTTAAGCCATTAACTTGTCAATCAAAGGTGAAGTTTTGAAATAATTGACAAGGCTTACAAATGGCATTGCAGTAAACTTACAATCAAAAATGGAGCTGAGCAATTGTGCTCTGAAGATAAAATAATCATTTACAACTTAGACACTTCACAACTGGGTTTGAGAGAAGTCAACCTGTCTTCATTTTTTCAGCCCTATAAGTTTTCATAGCAGTCTATTCTCAAGGCAATCATTTCTGGGAGACATCACCTGTCATCTGTATTGATAATCAACTGTCTAGTAGCATTTGCAAGTTGTAAGCAGCCATTACATTGGAGATATCACCTGTAACAACATAATATGTGGCCAATTTTCATCTCCACCCATAATAATGAGTGAGCTCAAATGTGACAGGTTTAATAATACATAAAAAAAAAATTATGCAGTTCTAACTGGCTGAAAACAAATGCATATTCATGTAACAGGAGTGCAAAGTTGTAACTGAGTGCAAATTACAAACACTGCACTGTCAAAATTGTCTCCGTTGTCTCTTAGCTTTCTGTGATGCTTTCTTTATTTAAATTGTTAATTAGTTATGGCATGATTTCTCTTGAAATTTGGTGTAAATAAGGACTTGTAAATACAAATTGCAGGAGCCCATCAAATGAGTGCAGTTTTGTTGTCTCTGAAAACTTTATAGGCACTTATTTATGCCAAATTGCACTCGAAGTCATGTTATAGCTTATACCTACAAGTTAAGGACTTAATTGACAACCTTGGATTCCTAGAAAACATCTAAAAAAAGGGTCATTAAACAATTGAGGAATTAGAACATATAATGTATTTCTTGGATGAGATTATGCCTTACAAGTGTCTTCAATTTTTTTTCTTTTGATATGTAGTTAATACCAAATGTTAGCAGTGGAAATAAGCAGCAGTCAAGAAAGGTACCCTTACCATGAAGATACAACAAACAATGAGAGTTTAACAGTTCTTCTTGATAACCTTTTTCATATTGGTGTGTATTTTTTTGGTAGGGGAAGAAAAGAAAGATACAAGATGATGTTGAGCAGTTACTAACAGGTCTGGGTGATAACATACTAGTGACAATAATTTTCTTGCCGTCACGTTCTAATTGCTGACTGCAGGAAACTATAAAAAGTAACTGTCACTATTTGCAGCAAGGTCTGAAAATTTTCTACAGAAAACAATGTAAAACTAAATAACCTCCTTAAGACTTTTTTTTTTTATTACCATTTTTTATTACTATTTTTTTTTTTTTACAGTAGCAAACTATTTTAGTATGGTATATTATTGCACTCAAATATTGTATTCTCCCATATAGCTGTTGAATATTAAACTTAAAAAAGGAAAAAAAACAACAGTTCTGAAAACAACAGTTCTGATACAAAAAGGGTTTTAACAAAAATTTGTGTAAGGAAATTAACTAACAATTTCTGATAGAAATGTGACGTAGCAGTTTAGATTTCGCTACGTGTTTAAGCTATACTTTATGTAAGCGGAGTTCTGGTGTCTCTGGATAGCACAATAGCACATGTAAAACTAGAGTGTGCAAACCGTACAATAAAGGTTGATCTTCTGTGAGTAATAGCGTAGAGTATACTTCAAAATGCTTTATTAATTTCAAAACTATCGGGGGAATTTTTGCATGATAAATTTAAGTCTCTCAATCATTTCCAATAAGAACTGATTAAATCCCTTTTCCATAATTAAGTCGCATTAAAGAACATTTGCTGCTTTTTATGAACATTTTTACTGTTACAAAATGTTGACTGCTTTCATTGATGGGTTCACAGGGCAACAAAAGATTGATGAAAATGCAAATGAGAAAGTTACATACAGAGCACTCAAAGGTGAAGTAAAAATTATTTTTTCTCATCTCAATAATCTAATATTTTTAAACTTTGTTTTAAATCAAGACCTTGATGGTAACTGATGCCAGTAAACTATCCTAAGTTATGGCCCTAAAGTAACCCTTTTCACTCTGAATTTTATCTACAGCCTTATGTTCAGTATTGATTGCAGCTGGAAGCGACATTCCTCATGATGCATTTAGGGTCAGTAATTATAAACATGTTGTTTTGTTGCTTCTACAATTGAAAAAGTGATTGATTGTATTTATTCCCATTTTTAATTTCTTTTTAGGAAGTGCAAGTTGTCCTTGTTAAACTGATCATTCAATGTCAGCAATCATCATGTAGTACTTTCCCAATACCTTACCTGAGTGCTGATTGTCGTCGGGCACTGTACCGCACTCTACTTAACTGTCTGCTAACTAACTCTCCTGGTGTTCCACCACCTGTGCATCATGCTGCAAGATTATTTAGTTTAGGACTTCAGGATATTGATTTTAAGGTGAGTCAGTTTTTAATTCAATAAACACTGCTCTGGAAAATTAAACAAGTATTTGGCAGGGTAGTGAATTGTCCCTCACAGGTTGATTGCAATACTTGATAAAATTTAGAAATTGAGATATAAAAGAAATGCTCAAAAGTGAAGCCTGGAAAATGAATTCAAGTTTTAGTTGATAGCTGTTTGATGTGTCTGCTGACACAGTTTAACACTCTCTTTAGGAAAGAATTCCTTTATCAATTAAACTAAGTATTCCACTGTTTTGAATATCCTGTCTCCAGGGGTTAGTGTTGCTTGTGCTCTGATTCTCAGAACAAGGATTTTAGAGGGAAAAAGGTCTGAAAACAGGCCATATTTTGCAAGATATCCTATTTTCAGTGGCAGCAACACTCTTTCCTAGGTATCAAGTTATTGCCAAGAGGCCCTAGCTGTTGTTAATACAATCATCCACCCACGGATATTCCCACAAGTGTGTTCTGCACCAGGGCCATTGCAGCTTAGCATCTCTGAGCAGCATGCAAGTACAACAGAAATGGCCTCTTGTATTACATCTGAGTATGTTCTGAATACAAGCTGGCACAGTTTGGAAGGGGAATCTGACAGCAATGATGGTAATCATGCTGATCATGTACAGACCAATGTAATCTCTATGGAACAAGAGGAGTTTGGAGCTAAAGGGGGAACTGTGGATAACAGTGTTGGGAATCAAACAGTACAAGGATCTAAACAGAATGTAACATCTGAAAATCAATCTGATAAGTCTTGTGCTAGTGAAAGGGAAAGCCAAGTAAACAGTGGAAAAGATAAATCACTTGCTGATGCAGGAAATGTGGATAGCCAGATCTCAACTCAACCTCAGAACAATGAGTCAAGTCAGATTGTTTTACTAGAAACATTGCCTAGTGAAGACTTTGGGCCTTCTCCACAGTTTGCTAGAGTATCTGAACCCAAGAGAAAACCTGATGCTGATAACTGCAATTCAAAGGAGAGAATTCAAACATTGTGTGATGAAGACTTTGTGCCTTCTCCACAGTATGCTAGAATATTTGAACCCAAGAGAAGGAAAGCTGATGCAGATAATTGCGATTCAAGTGAGGGAATTCATGTTACCAACAACAATAGTACTTCGCCCACAGAAAATAAAGATCAACCTAAAGAAAGTGTTGCAATTAGTGATAATACTTCCTTAAATGAGGTAAGCTGAAGGGCTGTTTTCACTTACTCTGTGGTCTTTTCTTTTACAAAATATGTATAATGTAAGTAATCAACACAATATCAATAATAATTAGAAGAATGATAATCTAGCAGTTAGTATTCCACAAGTTGGCTCTTCCTAACCACTGTTTCCAGGTCAAATTGGAATTTGGAATGCTGGTTTTTGTAGAGAGGGCAAAACCAGAGGAGCTGGAGAGAAACCCTGAGGGCAAGAATGAGAACCAACAACAAACCCACCCCACATGTGACATTAGGTCCAGGAATTGAACCTAAGCCATTGTGTGTGTGTGTGGGGGGAAGAGGGGTCTCACCGTTGCACTCTCCAATTTTTTTTTTTGGCATTTGCCAAACCATTAATCTGTTCATTTGTCAGGAGTTGTCTCTGAATGAATCTATTTTCAGGGGAATGAAAATGATGAAACTGCCCAGATGTTAGCTACATTTGTGGACTCATACCCAGACTCTGATGAGCAAGAATTTTCATGAGCCTTGTAACCAAGCCTTCCTGGAAGAGCCAGTTAGACTTATATACCTCCAAATAATAATCAGCTGTATGGAAACAACTCAAGACATCAGAACTTCAAATGAAATTTAATGCAAATGTAGTAAAGGAAGGTAACTACAGTATACTACACCAACAGAAAACATGCTTTAGTTAGGTGGGGCAAAATCAAAACCTTGGTGAAGTTTATTCATCTTACTAACTTTTTTTAGAACTAAAAAAGGTCAACTTAGGCTGTCAAATAAAAGAGCTTGCTCCCTCTTCCAGTGTATCAAATAAACCACAACTTATTTACTTCCATATCACCTTTTCATTATGTAACACCAGTTAATATCTGTTTCAATTAAGTTTACCAGTACAGTCCGACCTCTATTAAGCAGCCACCCTCCCTTGTGCGGCCACTTTCTAAAGTCCCAATTTTTTTCTCAGTTAACTGCTGTATTTGATACCTCTTTTCAACAGCCACCTCTATTAAGCGGCCACGACCACCTTCTTGCTGTCGCAAGTGTACTATTTACATGGTTTTTTTACCTCCATTAAGCCGCCAGTAAATTATCTTTCCAAGCAAAATGGTGACAGATGATATAAGGTGATAACTGATAACAACAAGAAAACAAGAACTGCAATTTTATCTCCACCATAACAACTCACAAGCCACATGCACGTGCAAACTTTTCACATCCGCCACTAAACAAACATAACAATAGCTGTGGTTACACTCCCCTCCTTCCCAAGGTAACCCTGTGGGTAATAACCTTGGGATGGGTTTGGGTTTCTGGTCAGGTTTAATCCTCCGGTTACATTGCAAACAATTACCCGAGGTCAACTTTTGACCTAGCAGTGTTTGGGGAGAAGTTAATTCGTCATGGAGATCGCAAACCGCGAAACTTATGGTTTTTATTGGAGTATTCAGAGCAAAGACGAGTACAATATACTTAATGTGAACCTCGAAAGTTGGCCACGTTTGATGCCACGTGTCTTGAATTTGGTACTTGCGAGGATATTTGCCGCCATTTCAGCACAACACCACAAAAATGCCCAGCATGTGCTGCAGTTTCTGGATTTACTTTTTTTTTTCCATCCAACTGGTTGAACTACTCTTGTGGTTTGATAAACCCCTGCTAACCCTACGACTTGGTTCGGGAAACGTCATGGGTAATTCTTTTGTTCTTTTTGATGTATTCATAGTGATTTCCCATGGGCAGTTTCATTGTGGGAATAGAGGTCACACACAAAACACAGACTTCCCGTGGCTAAGGTCTCACTTTCCCTTGGGCAAGAGGTCTAGTGTAACCCCAGCTGTTTTGTTACAACCAAAATCTGTACAGGAAAAATTTATTACTACTGTACTGGAAATCTACAAAAATCCATGCCCCTCAAGTTTTGATTTTAACCATTGAATTGAAAACTCGTCCACTGTGAAGCAGTACTCGCATGGAATTTCTAAACCATAGCCGGCCCCTCTGTTTACGTGTTTGCCTCTCACAACAGCTCTTCCTTTGTTTGTTGGCCTCTTGAGAAATTTTGTAAGCCAAAGGGCTATAAGCCCTACGTGCCCTCTGTTTCAGAGCTAGAACTATGCATGGGCTAGAAATGCACTTGATGTTTTGTTACAATGAATTTTAAAAGCATTTTGCTATATAGAGTCAATAAAATCATGTTTTCTGCCATCCTTATCCAATTAAAATTGTACCTCTATTAAGCCGCCAACCTCTATTATGCGTCCACTTTTCAAAGTCCCAGGGGTGGCCGCTTAATAGAGGTCGGACTGTAATTAATTTAAAATCATACTTCTACATGTTTTGTTTTCCATTTTGTCATTTTTTCAATGAAACAACTACAGTTACCAGTAGGCACATTATTTTGTGGGAAATTTTTAATTTTTTTCTAATTGTGTCAAAACAAATTAAAAACAAGAATATTCTGCATGTCTCAATTTACTTACATCACTTGTTATCAGTGCTACTTTACACATCTTCACTTTCACCTTCACCAACAGTTCGTAGTAAATATGCATCAACAGTTCCTTTCTTTCTGTCTACCTCTGGAGCCTTTGTACTTTCCAGATTAAATTCTTTTTGTAACTTCAGTGCAAACTGAAGGTCTTGTTCTTCTTGCTTTCTTCTTTCTTCTACGAATCTTAAATTGCTTAAGTTAAAAATGTCACTGGATGTAGAACTTGATGAAAAGATGGAATCCTCTTTGTCTTCAGAAGAATTTTTTCTGCAATTGGATGTACTATTAATTCCTTTGTTCTTTGGTAATCCTGTTGACAAAGTAAATAGAATAACTTGAAATATCCACAGAGGATTTCCTGTCTGTAGAATTACCAGACATTTATTTCTTAACTTTCAAGTAAAAACTTTAAGCTCTTGAAGTAAAAAATGATTAAATCTAAGTACATAGCCTATCCTAAAACTTTCATTGCCTGCAGCATGTTACAATTTCTGCTCTTGAAATGAAATAATCACCTGGGTCTATAGCATTATGCTTTCATTGTGTTTTACTGTCTCAAAAAGAATCAGGTCTTCATTACGCAAAGTACATGTAGTGGTACCTTTCTAAGAACATGAATAAAATTTGAATGAACACCTTGTACATTTCCCAAAGAGGACTGCCTTGTAGGAAGGAACCACCTGTCTAGTGTGGAGTTGCTGTGACCAGCTTGGGTGTCCTGTCCTTTCATCTTTTTTCCCTTTACACTCTTATTCTTGTAAGGGATGGTCGATGAGCTTCTATTCTTGGGCAGCTGACCCTGTGAGTTCTTTAGAAATCCAAAAAGCAAAAACACAAAGATTTCAATGATTAGCTTTAAGCCAAACTTAGAAAACAAAAATTTTTAATGACTTGTAATTCAGTTAAGCCATTGTATGCTACTTACCTGTTCTCGTTCTTCCTTTATCATTTTTCTTGCAAGTTCTTCATCTTGTAGTCTCTGGTATTCTAGAGACTTCACGAATCTCTCTTCCTCTCGTCGTAACCTTTGGATGACCTCTTCACTCGCTTTCACTTCTTCCTCTCTTGCCTGTTGCAACTAAGACATAAGTAAAATAACAAAATAAAGGAATTGGACATTCACTTTGTCTGAGGCAAAAATGAGTGGTTACAATAGAAAGGTAATAAATTAAAACTCCAAACAACTGTCAGTCATTAGAGAATGTCTGCCTTAAATAAGTACCCCTTCAATTAAATCTGAACTATAGTCAGCCATTATGTCTGGGAAAATTTGTTCACCATCTGAAAGATAATATAGAGATTCTGATTTGTTACAAGGGAAAGGAATTTATTTCCAGTGGGGATAACTTTATGTAAGAATCTAAAAAATATTTATAATACCAGAACACAGGTCTCTTCTTTTACCTAATTAGAGGCTTAGTCTGGGACAAAATAATCTGGTTTTATCAATTATCAACTGAGGTGATATTGTGAATTGGCCAAAGTACAGAGAATCTAAAGCTGGTGTTTCAAGCATTAGCCCTTAGTCAGAGCAAATTCAATTTGCTCTGACTGACAGCAAATGTTCCCAATGTCAGTTTTAGAATCTGTCTACAATGGCCAATTCACATTATCAACTTAGCTGATAAAACCAAACTATCTATGTCATACCCCCCACTGACAAAGCACCACAGATTCTTTAGAAACTAACCCTCTTGCATCCATGATAATTATTCTTTCAAGAAAAAAAAATATCTGCAGCTTTGTCACAAGGTTATCTTTCAGAGATCATAACAGCATGTAGTCTACTTTTACAAGTGTGATTTTAATCAGTTGAAGGCCATTTTTTGTCATAGAGTAGTGCTTGCCACATTTTTTCACTAATATTCGTAGAGGAACACCAAGAGATGCCAGCTTAGGTACATTTATTTAGTTAACTGTTGTTAACTTGCCTTCCTCATTTCCTCTTCATACTCTTTACGTAGCTCTCCGTCCTTGGATAAGGTGCGTTTCACAGGTGGCATATCTGTACCAGTGAAATAGAAAAAAAAATTACAACTTTTAACAGAAAACAATATACAGGCTATAAGTGGTCAACACCATTTCTGAATCAAGATGTACCCCTTATAAATGGATTGTAATTCTTCCCCAACCTCCTCATTTTTCTGTCTCTTCAAAATAAGATTAATAACTGGATCACTAAATAATACTAGTGAGCCTAGAACAGATTTGAAAAAAAAAACATTGTCTCAAGATTGAGTAATAGGTTCAAAAACTAATATTTCTCATTCTAATAATCTTTGAGCCGTATTTTGCTGTTGAATGTTGTGGGAGCTGATAAGTGAACAAAAATAAAGCTAATACGTGATGCAAAACGAATCTTGTCTTCTTTTATGCTTTAACTGTTATACTAGGACCTCGATATTTTAAATTTCAAAGTTTTGTTGATGTCAATGAAAGCATTAGCGTAGCAAAGCCTTCTAACCAAGGATATCGTCGTCTTCTTCACCGCGTAATCTTTTCCGACATTTTTCTGGAAAGAGCATCTGAATTTGTTGCCATCGTGTTACGTTAACCAGTGTCCCATTCCGCGAATTTCTTCTCGCCCAACTTGAAATTCTCATTCGACAAAGAGGGCAAAGGAAATTCGCCTCCTCCACATTTTGCTTGAAGCACGGCCAACACAGCTCGTGTTCACAAGGCATGACTACAGGTTCGATAAGTATTTGCAAACATATGGGGCACGTGAAGTCAGAGACAGAGTTGCAGATCACATTTTCGTCGCCTAAGTTACGTTTTTGTTGCTTCTTAGGGCTAACGACTTTGTTCACACAAGATTCGTCGTTCTCGTCGCCAGCCGCCATCTTGAATGTTATTTGGATGTATGCAAATAATTTCTAAATTAATTTTGGCGCGAAAACGAGCCATTGGCCTACCTACTTCTTCATTTATTCAGTATTGTTCAGAATTTTTCCAATATGATTTAATTTATAGGGGTTTTTGTGCTAAGAAATTCACAATTTGATTAATACATTTTTTTCCTTTTAATTTTTCTTTCGGCTGTTTCTATTCAAAATATTGAGCAACTCGCGGCAACAAATGGCGGGAATTAGTGTTAGTGGCGGGAAAAGCGACGTTCGCTACTCTTCCCTAAAGCTGAATGCGCTTCAACATTTCGTGCCTCGTTTGATCTGCGCATTTTACAAACAACTCGGTACTTCTTGTCTTTTCCGTTTCAACATTCAGACAAGTAATACCCCTACTGTTTTAGTGAAAGATGCCATCAACAAAAGTTGATTCGACTTCCACAACTCCTCTAGTGGAGAAAGAGGTGGAGAAGTTTCCAGAGACGGACGAATCAAACTGTGAAGGAAAACATTGCGAAGAAATGAAGACTGAAGAGATCATGAAGACTACCGAGGAATCGGAAAAGATGAAAAAAGAGAAGTTTCCGGAAACTGAAAACAAAGACGAGGTGAATACTCCGTCAGGAAATGAGGGGAAAACAGATTGTGACGATGAAGAAAAACCCGCGGAGACGAAGGAAAACATGGCTGAAAACTCCAAACGAAAGTCGACAGAGTCAAGTAGCCCAACAGAGGATGAGGAAAGCCCCCCCAAGAAAAGGAAGTCTTCTTAAAACAACAAACAAGAAGGTGGTAATTTTGTTTAGGTTTTGTACTGGAATTTGACTGGACTGCCCCTTTCGGCTATTTGATAATTTGCGCCGTTGTTGCCAAGAGTTTTTTTTATACGGGCTGACAGGAAAAGTGGGCGTCAAGAATTACGACACTATTGAAAATTGTACTATTCTGAGTGACTTTAAATCCTTTTAGCCTCAACAAGATTGCAATCAAAGCATTTTAATTAAAACTCAGAAAACTTAAAGATTTTACTTCAATGTGGATTGACAAAACTTCGATCTTATTATTTAATATTCGTAAGAAGCAGAAGAATCGATCTTGTTTTCAACTTGATTTGTATGTATTTATAACTTCGTTCCCGTTTCAACGATACTTTTTCAAGAAGAGGACTGTGTCTAGTTTTCTAATAAAGATCTCATCGTAACGAACTCCTTGGAATCGCGATTTGAGAAGCCCCTCCTCTACTCGAAATATCATAAATACTTCACTTATCAGTTGACCCTCAGTTTATATTATGTGCAATTTTAATTCAACCCTCCACAAATTATCAACGAGCGAGAACACCGAAACAACTCATCTTCTGAGAAAATCGGCTTCGGTGATGACCGGAAGTAAATCTTTTCTACATTTCATATCCTTACGCAAAGATTAATTGACTTGTAAAATTACCCAACTTTGTGCACAAACTGGGCAAATGCCAATTCTGCCACGAATCGGAGTTGAATTTATTACTATTGCTCTCTGATTGTAGATGACAACAAAACTACTTCCGCAAATCGCAATGTCTGGCTTTGATTTGAGCTAAATAGTGAAGTTAATGACTCCCTGAGCTGAGAAATTTTTTTATCGTCATTTCAGAAGTCACAAATGGAAATTCTAGCTCGTTCTCCTGTCGGCACGTGCCGGCCTGCATGTCGAACATCTGATGATAAGAGTTTATCCGAAACAGACTTCACTCTTTATCTTTCAAGGTAAAAGATTTGATGTTATCCCAACTGGATAATTTGCGTTTTTTTTTTAAGACTGAGAATATGATAAATGGAGAGGTTGTACTTCTCGCTTTTAAGCATGAACCGCCTCTTACGTAATTCATCTATTCGGGAAGGACTAAGAAAACGTATTATATTCCACAGTTTTCCTCGGGTTCCCAATTGTCTGTAAGGGAAGATGAAGAATTTCTCAGCCTACAATGCAAACATGGATAGTACTTGATGGATAATTCAAGTTTCATTTGCTGATGTTCATCTTAAAAACTCGTTGTAACTAGCTTGCATTGATAAAGTCATTAGGTAAGGATTAGAGTAAATCTCTCTTCCTAAAAAAGCTGAAAAGGGCAAGTTCCTGTGATTACTGAAAGCTGAGTCAGGAAACCTTAAACCGGAATTAACGATCACTCCCTGCCAGTGCCGTACCACATTCCGCCCCCGTTCGCCCAATAAAATATTTTTTCTCTATTTTCTGTTATTAGTCAAAGATGCCGCACAGCTGTTTCGCTCATCGCTTATTCATGATTGACTGTTTGCATTGTTTCAATTAATTATCGTTGCATGAATGAAAGGGTTCTGCGGATACACCCATTAGACTCACTACCCTTTCAACTATATATTGTCTGTAGCGCAGACGAGTGACGTTTTAGGACATGACAACGTATCTAAAAGTGAAGTAGCTATCACTTTGTGTATCTTAGTTCCTCGCGTAACCGACAAACGTGAAAGTTAGGCTATTTGATACACATTCAGTACTCTAACAAGCGGCGCAAAATGGGTTTTATTCACAAAATTCACGTGGTTTGTTTATTCGGTTTCATTTTGAAAGCTTGGCATGGCGAATGCAGCACTCAGCAATTGTCTTGTTCAGTTGAACAGCTTGGAACAAACACCCTATGGAATCCAAAAGTTCCTGCTAAAGGTTAGAAGAGAAATACACCAATATTTCATCTGTGGTCTTGTGTTTTCCAACTTACTCTTGACACAATTTGTCTTTGATAGGAGAGGAGCCGCAAGTTTGTGTTAGTTACACAGAAAAAACATGCTGTACAAGACAAACGGAAGATTCTCTTCGTATCAAAGCCGCAAAGAATATTAAGACTCGATTGCAAACTAGATACATGGCTGCAAAGAAAGACATGTTATCACTTTTTGATGATTTGAAAGGTAAGCCATCGATCCATGACTCGTTCAACTATTTTGTAAGTTGTTGAAAAGCACTTTATTATTTGCTTTGTGTAAACAAATTCTCTAGGCTACTTGAGTGATCGCAGCTGCCTTCGGATTTGCGGTTTGATTAGTAATTGTAACCTAAAGTAGAAGAAGAAGCAACATCACATTCAAACAAAAAAATCTCGGGCTCTCTCGAGGTCTTCAGAACAATGCCTTGCTTAATCAATTGCCCTTCACACGAATTTCCTATGGGGTATTAAAGTAACGAGGCACTTGAGCATTTTAGCTTGTGGCGCAAGCATGCTCGGAATTGTTTCTTTTTGTTTTTCCTTTCTCGAGTGTGTTGATTTGCTTAAAAAAGCAAACTTAGTTTTTTTATTACTCAGTACCCTTCCTTGATTTCATATCGAGTCTCGAGTGCAATTTTCTGACGCCTAATGAGTCAATTTTCTTCTCTCTGATGTTTCTTTCAACAATTCAACGAACGCATATTGCATAATGGATATAGAATAGTTAAGAACCTTACAGCTGCATCCTGAACATGAAAAAAACCTCACTGAAAACTCGCTTATAGTCTCGATCATTCGATCGCGAAGGAAAAGGATTTTGGTTGGTGCGAGCGCTTGTTTCCGGCCTTTAATCTAAGACATTACTGCCATAACCGCTCTGTCGTTGATATTCGTATTTTATTACATATATATTCCACGAGAATGTCTGAATATTGTGATTTTCTACAATACTTCTCAACGCACAAGTTTATTATGAATAATTCAGTCATTACGAAAATAAATCGTGCTCTCGTTGCTTAATCTAGCGATGAAATCTGGTGTAGAAGTTGGGTTATGCAAATCATGACAGTAGACGCCTGAGATCATTAGAAAACAATAAAAACATAACTGACATGAAGTAAACCTTGTGCATCTATGTTCGTGATCGCGTGTTTCAGAAGCATTGAAAAAGTATCCTCTGCTTAGAAGGTCGTCTCTATCATCGCATCAGAACCGCCTACGGGCTCGACAATTCCAATCTCATATGTTTGACATTCTAAATTAATGAACAGATATAAATCATCAAAAATTTGAAGCGCTCCTTGTCCCAGCGGGAGTTTTCTTGAAATAGGTAGATACGGTGCACCATACAGGGTAGCTGTAAAGTCAAATGTTTCTGAACCAAACTAATTGCCCTGTGTTTTGATCTGAAATAGAACTTTAGAGCCTTTCTTTTCGTTCTCTACGTTTAATAAAGTAAATATGCAAATTTAGGTATAAATGACGAAAGATCTGGAACGTATTAAGCCAATTTCTTTTTATGTAAATAATATAAAGAGAAGAACGTTATTGTCTGCTGATGCTATTGCTGTTTGTTAACCACAAGTGACCACTTAATTTTTGTTTTGCATCTGAAGTCTTATTAACTTAATACCAACTAGTTCTGGTATTTAGATTTTTTTTCGATAGAAATATAAAAGTCATATTGTTTAAAGTGTGGAAACTTTTAGATTTCTTTAGCTACCAACTTATCTTCCTTTGCACAGTGGGCATTCCACAAATGACCCCTTCAGTTAGAAGTTCACAATGTTAATTTGCCCTTGCTGATAGGTATGAGTTAAATAAAATTCTAACCCTAGAGTATTATTTTTTTAAAAATTAATTAGCATTGTGTGGAATAGTCCATTGAATTAATGTTGTAGATGTTTGACCCAATTTTCAACTGGGGTGCAGTAATTGTTTATCATTTTATATTTTAATTGCATTTTTTTTATTTGACTTTAATTTGAAATCAAATTGAAATTTTTGTTTTGCTAAACATTTTGATTATAAAAACGATTTGAACAGTTTTTTTCTATTTTTCCTCTTCATTGATTTGAAATGACATTTTTTTCATTTCCAGGGCATTTTCATAGCCTGATGGAAGAAGGTAACAGACAAAGTATCACCTTTTTAATGGGAAAACAACCCAATCTTACTGCAGATGAAGTCAGTGCCATATCAACATTATTCCAAGACCTTGAAAACTATTTTGCTGATGATAAACAAGACTTGGAAGAAATTGTGAATACATTCTTTCGCAGTTCTTTTTCAATGCTGTTTAAATATTTAAATCCAGGTGGAAATACTCTCTCGGCAAAATATAAGCAGTGCTTAAAAGATAACATGGATAAGATTAAACCATTTGGTACTCGCCCAGCAGAATTGGTGGGTATTTTTGAGCAGGTTTTTGAGCCAGTGCGTGGCCTTTTCAAAGGCTTGAAGTTTGAAGTAGAGGTATTGCGCATGGCTCAACAGTTCAACATCACAGATGAATGCAGAAATGGTCTGGTGGAGATGAAATTTTGCTCATTATGCCAGGGTCTTACCCAAGTGAAGCCATGTTATGGGTTTTGTATGGATACAACTAGAAAATGTCTGCTCTCTGAAATTCAGCTTCAGTCAAAATGGGGACAGTTAACAGACACTGTCCTGTTACTCACCAAAGAAGTTGGAAACTCGAAGTTGGAGAACTATTTAAACTCTATTCACTCAGATTTATGGAGTGCTGCCACATATATGTTATTCCAGAAGGCTAATATCAGGCCACAGGTAAGGTTGCATGAAGAATCTGATCTCCAGGATTTGAGAAATATAGTGTGATGGACTCTAGGTCAAGAGGTCTGGAACGAGCCCTAGCTGGGTCACAGATTGCCTCTCTCTGCTTTGGAGTGTAGAGGGAAAACTACATACATACATACATACATACATATATTGTGGGAAGGAAAAGACAAGTAAACTACAAGTTCATCCCTACAAGCCTGTTTCGTGGTCGCCCACTCATCAGTAGTTTACTTGTCTTTTTCCTCCCTCAATGTATACTTTGCTCTACTTCTATGTACTGAGCACTGTTCTACGAAAATCAAGTCACACTTTACATACATACATACATACATACATACATACATACATACATACATACATCCCCATAGGGGCTTTTCAGGGCCAACACCCACCCATCCCACCCAGGGGAGGACATCCACCACACAGTAATCTCGTGCATGGGAAATTAATGTCTCCTACCCCTAACCCTGCAGGAGACGAGGCCTACAGTTTATTCATCCTTATCCGAGAAGACTAGAATATCTATCCATTTCTTGATTATAGAAAGGTAGCAAATTCTCCTCACTTATTTTAAGACCACGAGTATTGGTCGGACTGGGGCTCAAACCCTCGACCTCCCACACAACACAATCCAGTGCTCTAACCAATTGAGCTAACCTTGAGGTAATAAGGGGAGGGGGTGGTAACCTGTTCCAGATTAATATCTCATCTGGGGGGAAGAATTCTCTTGGTTGCTTCTGCTTTCTATAATATCAAGAAATGGATAGATATTCTAGTCTTCTCGGATAAGGACAAATAAACGGTAGGCCCCGTCTCCTGCAGGGTTAGGGGTAGGAGACGTTAATTTCCCACGCACAAGATTACTGTGTGGTGGATGTCCTCCCCTGGGGGGGATGGGCGGGAAGGTGAGATCATTACATGGACTGAAGCGGCTGCCAGAGGCACCTGATAATGCTGACGTCCGATCTCAACCTTATCATTGTAACTGGACACGTTTGTTGTTTAGAGTGTTCAAGACTTTCTTTCTTCTTCTTTCTTTCTACGTTAGAAAATGTGATAAGGAAAATAAGCCATTCAGGCGAGAGAAATGTCAACTGTAAGCAATAACACAAATTTCTGTGAGGTTTTGTACATGGTTTGCTTTCATTTTCGTAAGAAAGACACTTTACTTTCACAGTGGATCTCTTCACCCAGGAGTATAAATTTCTGGGTACTGGCAAATTGTCAGGGAAGCCTGATGAAATGCTGTGGGAGAGGGTGGGGGTAACCTTGCAACTGACTGGTTTCCAATGGAGTAGTAATACTCTTAGTCACTTCATGCCATGGAAACGAGGACATGCTGACCAGCTGGATGGGCCACTTGTTTTGAGCACAGACTTTACCCATCAGTTTCTGATCCCATACTTGGTTGGTAAAAACACACCAAGAATTACAGCCACATTTTAGGTGTTCATGGTTTTCTGAGACTGAAAACTGGTGAACTTGTGAAATAGTTTGGCCAAAATTCTTGGCTGAGATTACATTCTTAAAGATGTAAATACTCAGATCAATATTATTAACAGGTTTTGAAGGAGTGTGGTGAACCTACCTATGATGATGTGAAGACCTCTCCATATAAGGAACCTGTTCCACCGACTCCTCACGTCAAAATACGACTCTTTGCCAAAATGGATGATGTTAGAATAAAGCTGAATTCTCTTAGCTTATTCTTCCAAGAGTTACCTCAGGAATTATGTGTAGTTGATGGTCTTGCTGCAGAAGAGAAAATCATTGACAGTTGTTGGAATGGAACATCTGTGGCAAGGTGAGGACTTAGTGGTCGATATTTCAATTTGAAGCCACTATTGGTGACTGTTCTTTTTTTCTGTGCAGCATCAAGACTTGGGCATGTAATACCACTCAATAAGAAAGAGTTAAAACATTTTGAGAGCCCAAATTAAGAATTTGATAAGATAACTTTTCATTGTTATCATGACTTTTTCAATTTTGTCTCAACTTTTCACTGTAATTGTAATTTGTCTCCTTCTTTATAGCTTTACATTTATTACATCACTTTACATTAAGCTCTCTTTGAATTTTCATAAAATTTTAGTCCCAGTATAGTTCCTCTTTCACCGATCATTTCCCTGAACAAATACATATGCATTACAAAAAAAGTAGTGATCACCCAGTACTGATACAAAACTAAAATAAGGATAGTTAGAACAAATTGATTAAAAAAGATGAAGATACATCTTAAGTTCTAAAAAATGTTCTAAAATTCTGTCGCATAATCCTTTGCTACAAAAATATATCCAATTAAACCAATTATTAGAGAAATTATGATTTGCTCAGGATGCAATTTTTGCAGTCATCTGATAATTTAATTAGGCCAGATCTTGTTTTCAGATTAGTTTCCTAAAAACATCTAAAGTTTGTTGTTCTCTCTCTTTTGCACTTAACTTGAATCTACATAGTGGTCAGATATCTTACTAAGGGCTTCCCAAAACACATAGTGTTTTACTCTTGGGTTTTTTCATTGTTTATTGAATACATTTAGATTTTTTTCTGCAGTGAATTAATTCTCTGTTAAATTATTTTCTACAGGTACGAGTCAAAGCAGGATGATTCATCCTTGTCATGGGAGAGTAAGAACCACTTGACATTGCTTAAGAGGATGATTAACGACAAGATTGCTATGATGGAGGAGGCTATTGTCAGAAAAGATGATGACGATGAAGTTGATGGAAGTGGCAGTGGCAGTGGGAGTGGTGAAACAAATGGTAATCAGCTTATATTTTAACTTGGTTTTAGGGTTGAAAGGGCAAAAAAGGGCCAAAGAAGACAATTTGTGTAATATTACATCATGTAATGAAGTGCAAGGCACATTGCTTTCCTTTGGAGTGAGTAATTTACAGCTAGCATTCGGATGGCATCTCAACAAGGAAGAGGCACAATTTTAAAGAAGAAAAGAAGGTAGCATGAGTAATATTAATTACATGCAGTCAAATCTCCACCTAAAGACACTTTTGTAAGCAAACGGTTCTTCTTATGAACACATTTTTGTCATTTCCCTCTTTTGCCTTCTAGTCAAACTCTGTATTAATGCATGTAAGCAGATGCTCTCTCGTAGATGGACACAGATTGAAAATTGGATTTTTCTTTTGTTTATACTCTCTCATCAGCAGGAAAACAAGCTCATCTATTTGTTTGACTTTAACAAGAGTCTTACATAACACTCTCCTACAAGTGGATTCACCCAACTTTTCTTTGATGTCTGCTTCTGGGAATAATTTTCATGGGCAAGCAATTCTAGAAACAGACACTTTTTCTGATTCCTGAGGTTATCTGCTTATGAGAGAGTTGACTGTATCACTTTTCCTATGACCAAAAAAGCTTAACTTTTAAAACATTTCATCTGATCACATGACTCAATGTCCAACTCGTGTTTCAAATTCAAGCTGCAGCACTGCTTTTCTGAAATATAAAAGATTAAATGTGAATTAAATCTGGCCACAGAATGGTTACCTAATGTTCAATTATTTGTATATTGCATTGCAAAATAAAGAAACGTGTATTGTATCAAGGGTTCAAAAGAATATAATTACATGGATGTGCATTAATTATGTAGGTGTCATCAATTCTAATTTATGTTTATTTTTTTATAATTAGGAAATGAAATCAGTGAAAGTGGCTGTGGTGAGGATGACGAGGACTGTGGAAGTACTTCAAGTGGAGAAATCCCAAACCGAAATGTCATTGGAACGGGTATGTGTTAGATTTTCCCTATTTTTTGGGTTCCCTGTTCTACATAGAAGCTAGTGTCACGAGACCTGTTTTCCATATTTGGTATTGTACACGAGGTCTTCTTTCAGATTGGAAACACTTCTTACCGCCATCTTGATCTGGTTTACTGTATTCCTGGCCTTTTATTCAGGATACACTACAGTATGAAGATTTTTATTCACTTTTATGTTTTCTTACCTGGGACATCGGTCTGTTTTGTCACAGTGTTTTCAGTTGTCAAACCCTTTCACATGTAAATTATTATTATTACCAAAGCAAAAATATTTTAAAAGGTCTACACATAGAATGTCAATGATGTAAGTCTAAGAAACTGAATATAATTATAAGAAAGTGTTAAACAGAGGTCAGAAAGAGAGACATGTGACAAGATTCTTACAAGGCTCTCTCCTTGACCTCTGTTTAACACCGGCTTTGAGATTGGACGTGGAGGCGTGGTGGCCTCATGGTTAGTGCACTTGACTCAGGATCGAGTGGTCCGGGTTCGAGCCCCAGTTGGGACATTGTGTTGTGTTCTTAGGTAAGACACTTTACTCTCACAGTGCCTCTCTCCACCCAGGTGTATAAATGGGTACCGGCAATTTAATGCTGGGGGTAACCCTGCGATGGACTAGCATCCCATCCAGGGGGGAGTAGAAATACTCCTAGTCGCTTCATGCTACAGAAACCGGAGTTAAGCACTGGCCTAATGGACCACTAGGCTCGTAAACAGACTTTACTTTTAAGATTGGACATTGCGAGAATTTGTGTCCTTAAGTTAAAAAATAGGCAACATTCAGTGCTTTTGGGATAAACCCCAATATGCATTCTAACCTTTTGGTTATTGTTATTTTCAAGTCCTTTGGGTTGGTTTTATTCTTTTTCTTGAGCTTGAGTCTGGGAAGGTCATCCCCAGGAATTTAGACACCTGACAGGGAATAATTTTTGTTTTTTAGTTTAAAAATAGGCAACATTTAGTATTTTTGGGATAAACCCCAACATGCATTCTAACCTTTTGGTTGTTTTTATTTTTTGTAGAAGATGACTTTGATTTTAGTACGGCACCTCCTTCAAACAGTAGCATGGACAACAGAGCCCAGGCAGGAGGGGTTGACCCCAAGACAACTCGCAAGTCTGGCGATGTGCTAGCTCAGGGTAATTCATCTTCATCTCTTGGGGTCACGTGGCAGCAGATCCTAACTCTACTTCTGTTGGTATGGCTCACAAGAGGGTAGAAACGCCTCAGCAGTCACTCTGATGTCAAATGGATCGAAACAACAAAAAATGGGTCATCCAGGAGAGTTTTCCCACAAAAACAACTGGCAGAAATGCAAGGCCTGGTTCAAAGACTTTCGAAATTGTTGTATAAAACATAAAGTGTAACCAAAATTTTCAGAGCCTCGATTGTTAGCAGAAGGAGGGCACAATGGTGAGTGTATAAGGGAAGAGGGAGATCAAAAAGAAAATATTGTCTGTGGACTTCTTTGAGTCATTGTTTAGATTGCACACTACCATAAAATGATTTCTCAATGGTCAATAATCATTCAAAAGTCATTGATTACAGGTGAACTGGTGAACTGTGTGGCTCAGATGTCCACAAACAGTTATTTTTCTCTTCCCTTGTTGCCTGTGTTTGCAGCTCTTTTCTCTCTAGACAATGATTCAAGGAAAGTAAAGGTCAATGTGTTATGGCCAAAAGTTTAATTTTGTTTTTGAATTGTTTTTTCAATCTGAGCTTGAATCAATTTTGCTAACTTGTCTTAAGGCATATATAAGGTCTGCTTTTAAGGAAACTTGGAAGATTATGATGCAATGCTTCTGTAAGAAGAAAATTATTTTGTCTGAGTATCACAAAAGCCAATTGAAAACATTTTGCAGTGCTTAACCACAACTCAGTCAAATTAACCATGTAGATATATAATTTTTTAGGAATAGGCCTGATCACATTGCTCAAGCCTAAACTGACCAGCTGCTTAAACGTGGCACTGTATTTTGTGTAGATTACAAACTACAAACTTACAGAGTACCTGTTCATTTATATTTCAGTCATAAGTGTCGATTCAAAATGTGTTTGAAGGATTCAAGCAGTTAAGTGTAAGCTTTCTCATTGGGCTAAACCATTTGTATGGTTGAAAAATGCCTTTGTTCTTATCTTCATCCCTTCAGTTTCTTTTTCTCGCCAGCTAATCATAACATCTCTAGCTCCAAAATTGATTTTATTAGCAAATTATTTATAGTGTCTTGATTACCCACTGATAGTGTTAGAAACTAGTATAATAATTCTCAGTTTGTTCATTGACAATTTTACAGCCAAAATGTGTGCTAACTCAAAGCATTATTTTGATTAAGTAAAAAAAGACATTTGACATTTGGCATCAAGTTCTTCTCTAGGTGAACATATGATGAAGTAGAATCAGTGATTGTAATTATGAATAGTTAGTAAAGTAATTGTGCCAGAAACGATGCATTGTAAATAAATGATATTTTTTCGGCAGTAAGGTATGGAGATAGAATAACTTCTGGTTATGATCCTGATCATGTTGTGAAAAGGTCAAGTCTGTAGTGGAGCCTATTGCCTGTACACCCCCTCCTTCCCCCAGCCAAAGCTTTTCCCAGTTTTCATATAGAATCAAGTGACTGGCAGTATTAGTACCCCCCACCACCCCTCTGGCCTTAGGATCCCAGTTCATCACAAAGTTACCCACCCCCACCCCCAGCATTTCATAAGGCTTCCCTGAAAAATTGCTGGTATCCATTTAGACTCGTAGCTGAGGAGAGGCAAGGTGAGAGCAAGGCATCTTGCCTCAGAACAACACGCTGACGCAGCTGAGTTTCAAATGCAGACCACTCAACCCAGTGACCATTGGGCCACTGGGTTGAGTGATCTGGATTTGAAACTCAGCTGTGTCAGCGTGTTGTTCTGAGGCAAGGTGAGAGTAAGGTGTCTTGCCTCAGAACAACACACTGACACAGCTGAGTTTCAAATACATACCACTCAATCCAGTGACCATTGGGCCACTGCCACTAGTACTGATTGTGTCGTACATTGGTCAAAAAAATTGTTCACAGTTGAAACAACAAAATTAAGAGAGAGCAAAAATTAAGGGGAAAACTATCCTTTGCCTGATCATGTAATGAGTTGTTATCAATTAAGATTGTTCATTCATCAAAAAGCTGCCTTGAAGCATTTTCCCTTTCATCCCAAAGAATCACTGGCAACTTATTTCTTGCAATATCACCCCAAATCACACATTAAAGTCATAATGAGAAGGAAATAATCACCCATTAAAGAAGCTTTTGATTGTTAAGGAATTCTCCATGTTAGCTTCTAAGGAAATGTCTAGAGAACAGTATGGAGAATATGCATACTAAACTAAGGATATCATTCAAGATGTTGGCTACAGGTCATTCTGTAAAACAGCAGTTTGCATTAGATAGTCTTCTCATTTACATTGTTTCTCTCAGACTTATTACAA